ATTAAAGAAATGCAATTTAAAATAAAGGTTATAATAAAAAACATGCTTATACTTGCGGTCTATTAAATAAATTTTATTAAAGTAAAAGGCTATAAATTTAAAATAAATAAAAAATATATTCATACTTACACTCTATTAAATAAACAGTTTTTATAATTAAATTAACAATGCAACTTAAGTAAAAAGAAAACCACATTAATAATCACATTCTATAAAATAAATAATTTTTAAATAAATTGAATTAAAATACAATTAAACACAATTAAATTTCAACCATATTTATGTTCTAAATTAACGAATTTGTGAAAAAGGTTAGAGTGCAAAATACAATCAAAATATAATATTATAAATTTAAATTAAGCTAAGTTCATAATTACGGTCTATTAAATGAATTAATTTTGTAAAATAAATTAAAGAAATATAATTTAAAGTGAAAGACCATAAATTTAAAGTAAATAAAAACATATATACTCTACTATTTAAACTAAGAAATTGAAAATATATATGTTACGTATTAGATTCTATATATAAAACAATTAATAATTGAATAATAAATAAAATTATACTTACTTTCTAATAAAACAATTAACAAGTATATATATTCTTAGGTTATATAGCCAAAACAAAAATGATTTATTGTTTTATAATGCTTTTCAAATTACTGTGATCATGCATCACACTATTATGTATAAAATTCTAGTATTAAATATTTTTAAAAGTTCGGTTAAGTCAATTTCAATGTTTAAGACCATTTTCCGTGTAACTGCTGATCACATTAATTTGAAAAAGCACGATAATACGTATCAATATAGACATACTCTAGAGATATAATTGGCTTAATAGCTTGGCTTAGCTTTTAAATTTATAGCTAAAGCCTAAGCCAAAATTTTAGTAGTCATAATTTAGCTATAGCTATTAATTTAGCTTTAGTTATAACCAAGATATAACTTAAACTAGACAAATAATCAATTAGCTATAATTTGAGCCATGGCTTAAACTATAGTTTAAACTATGGTTTAAGTCAGTTAAGCTATGGATTAAATTATAGTTTAGGCTATGGTTTGAGCCAATTAAGCCACGGCTTAAATCATAGTTTATATTATAACTCAAACTAGCTTAAATCATAACTTAATCTATAATTTAAAATTTTGGTTTAGATATTATATTCATATTGATATGAGTGTCGTGTCGCTAAGAGAAAACCAGCAATTCTAAAAATAGATTTATTATGAAATTCATAATAAATATATTTTTAGAATTGAGGGTTTTCCTTAGCGACTAAGGATTTTATTGGTTTGAATAGCTCAGCTTAGTTTAAAAAAGCCCATAGCCAAACTATAACAATTAAAACCAAAACTAATAGTTATTTTTTTTTAGACATTGTCATGTCTTAATTTAGATTATTTTCAATTTGTAGCTAAAGTTGGCTTCAAGTAAAGCCAATAACATCCCTAACATACTCTAATAATCAAAAAACTTTCAGGTTAATGGAATATCAAAGTGAATAGAAAACATTTCAATTAGATATAAGGTTATAACCTACACCGTTATGTTTTCTTCTAATTCAGAAATAGGTGCGGCAATGACCAAGTAACCGGTTGAAATAAGAAGTAAAGCAATAGATTAGACTTTTAATAACATTTTAATAGTTTTAGCAAGCTTGATAATACTTTATTGTGTCAAAAAAGTGAAAATAAAGTTGTGTATTTATACTTTTGTAGAAAAACGCCACTTCATTGTTATCCTGAATTACTATTTATCGCTTAAATTTTTAAATGTTGACGAGTTCTAAATTTTAATTAATAATATGGGAGCTCGTCAATAGAAAAGGGGTAAAAAGTTTTTAGTAACTTTTTTTTAAATTTTAGATTAAGATATTTTAATTACTACCGTATCAAATTTTAGTAAAAAAAATCTTTATTTTAATTTTATAACTATATAGAATTAAAATAAAAAATAAAAAACTATTAAAGTTAGTTTAACAGTTGTTGAGATATTTTAATTTGAAGTTTAAAAAACTTTTACTTAGAAAAAATCTCCTCCTTTTTATTGTCGAGCTCCCATATATACCCTAATTGCTATTATTATGTAACTACAATAAAAAATAATGAGCAGTTTGTGAACTCCTTTCTGTAAACAACGTGATAATTTTCTCGTACCTGACGAGTAAAGATTTTTTAAAAGAGAAATTCTATTTTCATTCGGGTTAAAGTCTCCCGATAAACTATGTCATTTACATAACTAAAATTAATACTATTAGTGAAAAATTAATACTATTAGTGAAAATAGAACTTCCCTTTTTAAATATTTCTCTCAAAATTTAAAAATATCAAGGGGATTGATATTACTTAAAGGGTAGTGTTCGCAGTTAAAGAGCATCGATTTTATGATAGATTATATAGTAAATTTAGGCCAAATCATCCTATTCGGTGGTTTACTTTCCGAAAAGAAAATCAACCAACATAATATACGAGTAAGGTTGAGACAAAAAATGACGATAACTTCCGAAGGTTAACCAAAGATGATCGACTTTGACTTAGTCAAGTTGATAAATAATGGTCAATAATTTAAACCCAGTTTTGTAACTGTTTATGTGATCCATGAAAAATCCGATCAGCACGTATTACGTATATACAACGCATAATACGTATCTGATCAGATTTTTCAATGGACAAATTTCGGAGCCTGGAACAAATGTAATTGGAAGTCCAATGACAGGTTTTCCTTGAAGGCGAACCAATTTTCTTATTCGAACGATTTATTCGAAGCACATCTCGATTGGAACAATTATTTTGAGACAATTGATTACATAATGAAATTACATGTTTTTCCAATTGGTACTCACGTATAAGACATCGTATGCAGATAATAGATGCTATGAATCTTCTTAAATGACCTCATTTTGAAATGAATCTGAGTCATTTAAAAGTTATTTGAACTTTAAAATATTAAATTAATTTATACGTTCATTATACTACGTATGGTGCTGGTAGTCTATACTCAACGGTTACACAAAGTGTTTCAATTTTTTAAATAGCTGTAACTTTTTATCTAAGAGGTTTTAAAAAAATCTGACCGGTAACTTTATAGAGCTATATCAGCTCTACGTATGTGCCAAATATCTTTTCAGAATCTGATCACTGTAAAGAGTTGATGCATTTTGTAAATTAAAATTTTATATGTAAATTTATAAATTTAAATATAAAATTTCAATTTTCAAAATGCATCAACTCTTTACAGTGATCAGATTCTAAAAGATATTTGGCACATACGTAGAGCTGATATAGCTCTATAAAGTTACCGGTCAGATTTTTTTAAAACCTCTTAGATAAAAAGTTACAGCTATTTAAAAAATTGAAACACTTTGTGTAACCGTTGAGTATAGACTACCAGCACCATATAACGTATAGAGCCAATAATATACGTACAATATATAACTTATATTATACTTAGTAAAAAAACAATAGTCATTTGGTCATTTGATCATTTAAAAATCATTTGAGAGCATCATAGACTATATTTAAAGTCTTTTAAAAAGTTTCTTATTCTTTTAAAATATTTAAATTAGTCGGAGCATCAGATATACATTTAATGATAATAATATTGCTAAATCCATGGTAATTTTAAATTTTTCGGTATATGTAATTTGCAGTATAATATAACTTAGGCTAACATTCAAACTAAGAAGTCCCTTTTTTCTTTTTTTTTTCTTCTTTTTTTTTTGTTAACCGTTTAGTCCAATTTAACCTAAACTGATAACAAATATATAAAATTCTTAGATATCAATCTGTTAATATTTTAAAAAGAATTAACAGATATTATAGTGCATTTGTTTGCTCGTATAAATATCTTAGGTTATTCCCAATGAATTTTTTTTTTTTGTTTTTTTTTTTTATGTTTACGCTGTTATATTGATTATATTGAGGGAAGTTAAAAAAGTTGCGGCATACAATAAAACCTGTTCAAAGTAAATACCAAACCAAAAAAAAAAGATAAAGTTGGTAAAATAAATACGTAACATCTCCAAATCAAAATTTACGTGCGTAAATTCTGTGATTTCGAGAGAATGCTTTATAATTGGTCATTTCATCGCCAAGTGATTTTAGAATATTGATATATTCTTCTTGACTAACATTCATGATTGCTGATAATTCAGCGGAAAGTCCACTTAACGCTCCGACCTATAAAAAATTTAGTTATAAATCTTAAAAATGATATATGATTTTTGATATCGATAATCATTAACACATATGTACCAAACATTCTTCATTAGCAATTTCGCCTAACCTGGTAATAACGATAATATTTAATTAGCATACGTATAAATGTGAATAAAATTTGCGAAACGAAAGAAGTAAAAATCAACCTTCCAGCCCAGCTTCCGAAGGGTAATTCTTTATATTCATCTTGAAGATTTGTTAAAGAAGGATGATTCTTTAATATATTGTGAATTAGAGGTGTTACAATACCAACTGCACCTCTTGATTCAATCATTTTGCGTACTAAAAAAAATAATTAATATATTAGGGATTACACAAATTTATAATCTAACACAGTAAAAAATATTAAATATTTACAAGCCATAGTTAATTTTTTTGACATTGGACCGTCATTAAACCATCGAAAATCTGTTTCGCATCTATTGTTGTTTTCGTTAGGCCCAATAAAGTAAAAAAGATAGCGATAACAAACACGTGATCTCTTACAATTCTATCCAACCGTTAGGTTTCGTTACTCGAACTAATTCAGTTATGACAGTTTCCCATTCACTTTCTGAAAAAGAACTGACCAAAAGTCTCATGTGCACAAAATCAAAGAAATTATCAGGATATGGTAAACCATTAAGAACATTTCCTTGGATAAATGTGGTATTTGGTGGTTTTATCTAGAAAATAATCGTCATTTTAAAACCTATTTTATAAAAATTAAAGAAATTATAAGTTATCTAAAATACCTGAGATGGAAATGTTGCTACTAAATCAATTCCAGTGAAATTTGAGCGGGGATAGTCATGAGCTAATTCCATTAGCCATGCTCCGGGCCCGCAACTGAGACAAGCAAAACAGAAAGAAAATTTTACATAAATATAGTAAATACTTTTTTTTTTTAAAGAAAAAAAAACCATACCCAACGTCTAAAACTTCACTTTTTTCTTCTCGTAATATATCATCAATTGGTGCCGAAAAATTAGAATCCCAAAGATATCGAAATAAGAAATGTTGACGTTGTAGCCGATAAATTTCTTCGTCATCATCTGGCATTAAATATCTTGTATTTTCGATATTTTGAAATCGGCGACCATCAATATAACGATAAGTGGTGGATGGTTTTATCGCTGAACAAACAGAATTTTTCGATTGAGGATTGCCCATAATCAAAAACTATAAAGAATGTCAATAATAATAATAATACAAAATGAGGTAAGAAAAATAAAAATAAAAATAAATGAATGAAATAAAATAAATGAAATTAAATTAATGAAATGAAATGATGTGAAAGAAGTTAAAAAATATTTAATAAAGAAATAGTGTGATGAGCTGCAAGTACTATTATTTGGAATTACTGATCACGGCAGTTTGCTTAGCAACCATTCATTAACGGAAGAAAAATTCGTTACATGTTAAATTTACCCGCGTCAATATTTACTGCAAGGGTTTCGAAATTTTTAATGGTTGTTTGACAAACAAAAATCTTGACAAATTCAATAATTTTAAGCTTAACTTCGCGAACATAATATGAAAAATAAAACAATAAAAAATCGTTTTACCTTTTAACATGATTTTAATATGACGTGTATAATGTTTTTTGCGATATTTTTCTTAATATTGTCGGTTTATTTCGGAAATCAAAATTAATTATTCAATGTTCGCAGAACTTGCATCTGCTGATAATTAGATGCTATTTTCATATCCACTGGACTGACATTCTTGCATCATGCATCTCATTTCTCTTATTCTCTTCGTTCTTGATACTTATTAAATCATTTGCATTAAGCTTTTAATATTCGGGTAAATTCTAACTTCAAGCCACATGGTCACACTTTGTCTTAGCAAAGTGTTACTAGAAAAAACTAGAAAAAATAACAAATTAAAACAATTTTTTAACGAGATACAACATTAATATAGTCGTTCTGGGATAAACAAAGTACCCCATTTATCTCTTTAAAGAAGATTCCCGGAACAGCATTTGTGTGATCTTCTTTGAAGAGAAAAATCACAAAAAATAGAACTTTCTTTTAAAACAACTGCATTAATGTTTTATGTGCGGTGTTAAATGTTTATTACAAAGTTATTACGTAGTAAGTTAATTTTATGTGACGCTAATTATGTAATTCTATTATATGTTTAATTATTGTTATGTATTATCTTCAAAGATCCTATTTGATCTCAAAGATCTTGGCACACACACAAAAGTTAAATAATGGCATTTAACAAATTTTTTTTTTTTTATCAATTGAAGTCCTTTTTTATCTAAAAAAATTTTTTTTTCGAAACGTAATAAATATCTATCAAAGATATGTAAAGTACGTTAGTTAAAAGACGAGAAATTCGGTTATAAAATTGATCTTAATATTATTTGATTATGTGATTCTTATGATAAATTGTTTACGATTATTAGCGTTATTTTATGCTAGATTGCTAGATAAAATTCATCTCAAGAAATGCAATGCATCATAAATTAGAAAAATGTGTGTAATGGATTAAGAAAAATCCGATGTTGTGACTTGTTTATAATTCAGTTCCGATAAATATTCTAATTCTGGATTCTTATGGAGCGCGTGTGTATCGCGCCGTCTACATCATAACTTTAATACACTTCGCTATCGGGTTTTCCTAAATAAACAAATCCCTTTAATACTTTTTGGAATTTATTCCTTCATTTCTATTACCGTGGCATTTTAAATGAAATGCATATAATATAAACAATTTAGCAGTTTTAAAATATAAATTTCCTTAATGATAAATGGATTACTAATCAATATAGCAGTTCTTATCTATCGTTTATTATTTTAGTGCATTTTCTCGGCCATTTCTTAACATATTTTTGTTCACGTGGTTTCAACGCAGTATACAAGCTTAACGATCAATTCGTGTTGTCTGCTAAAAACATGCTAAGTAAACGACATTTTTGGTACACACTATCAATTTATCAAGTTTCATTAGTTGCCGTTCATATATTGCATTAAAATAACATGCGAATACGTAACATGTGTTATTGTTTGAATTTTAAGGATGGCAGATCAATCTTAACTATAATCTTAACTATTTAGTATTGTCACAATTATTGCCGTATTTAAAACATGTTTGTTATAAATTATCAATTAATAGAAACGTTTCATTCATTCACCTAATCTTTACCTTGCGTCGAATTTTAGATCGTCAAATAAATTCAAGTCAATATTTCACAGATTGGTTTTTTTTCCTGATAAATACCAAATCATTATTTATTAAGGTTGTCTATAATTTTCACCTTTTATTACCGTCGTACTAAGCAAAAAAAAAAACAAAAAAAAAACAAACAAAATCCAACAGAAGCATTTAGTATATTACGGTATCATCTAAGTTTCATAAATATAAGATAACATGCCTAAAAATTAAAAAAAAAAAAGTTAGTAGGAAACATTATTGAAACACAATTATAATAGCAACATTCAAAAACTTACATGAACTATGGGCAATTGCACCGTATTTTCTTCTTCATCTACGATACATCGTTCTTCTGTATAATCTTCGTATGAACAAATCTTCTTCTTATCTTTTGCATAACCATCCGGTACAGTGATTACAAGCTCCTTAAGAGGCATTTTATCTTCTCCAACAGCGTTATTCACATCTTCCATAAAAAGCATACCAAGAGGCCATAATTTGTTGTCTGAAGTTCGAACATCCTGCCCGCCTATCACGAGAAATCCGGAAGGAGGTAACCGATCATATGCTTCACGAGCCAAACGTTTGATCATTGCACGATAGTAAGGGATCGTTTGTGAATTGAGAGCACTGTTGGGAATATGTGGTATGACGATCAACGCTGTCGGTGTTGGTGGGGGTAGTGGCTTGCTGTTGAGTAACTTCTCAAGATGTGATATATCATCTGATTCTTCTCCGAGATCACATTTCAGTCCCTAAAGATTAAAACATAATACCTAAATACAAACAAACAACAAAAAAATAAAAATAAAGGTCTTGAAGAATCCTAACCAATGAAAGTAGCATTTTCTGATTTTCTTGAATTTGCTTCTGTCTAATTCGTTCGTATTCCGGAATATCATCGTCTGATTCACTATCTATTTCTATAGTAATGGCATTAAAGTTATTAAACGAAAAATTTTTATAACAAATATTAGTAATAATAAGCTTACCTTCTTTATTTGTTTGTTCTTTATTTTCATCTATACTATCATTATTAAACTGCTAGAATGTGTAAAAATTAGTATTTTACCCAGACTGTTTACAAATGTGAATGATTTTTATTATAAAATACCTCTAGATTTTTGAACCCTATCGATATTTCTTCATAGTTGGCATAATCCCTACCGAATCTTTCAACCTAAAATCATTAAGACAGTTAATTTAATAAAGACAAACGTTAATAATAATAATAATAATAATAAATAATAAATAATAATAATAATAATAATAATAATAATAATAATAATAATAATAATAATAATAATAATAAT